TTGTATATTGATCCAATGAATATGGCTTAATTGAAGCCGAAACGTCTGGATCCGATTTAAAATAGAATTGTTTTTGGCTACCAATAACTTGCCTTTGGCTCATTTGCCCTTGATTGTTTTAAGATATTTAATTCTCCAAACAAGCTCCATTATAACGGAAAAAATACACATTTCTTAATATTGATTATTTAAGATTTGTTTATTTTTTTAGGCACGTTTTCTAATAAATAATTCTTCATTATTTAAAACTATTTAGAAATAATTAATAAAAACGTTTAATGCTAAAATACATATAATAAATAATTATTATATTAATATTATAATTATTTGAGATAAAAATTTTCCGGATTAAAGTTATTATTGAATATTATTGAGCACATTATATACAATATGAAATATAAAGAGTACAACAACCTATCACGATATATCTACGTGTATCTGTGCAAGACGATGAAAGGCAGCCGATTACCGTAGATGCGTAGTGAATATTGCGTTTGCACCAGCGATACTGTTGTTTCTCGCAGTGAATCGAAGAAGAAATCATCGGCATCAAGGCAAACAACTCGCGAGGAAAATTAAATGAACAATACGCGGCTCGCGTACTCCCTAATCGTTCCAGCTTGACTTTGATGTCACGGTAATAATACACATATGCAACACGTTTTCTTGCGCGCTCGTCGTATTGTTTTACTCGAGTCTTTCTGTTTCGTATCTTTCACTTAATACGCCCGCTTCACAGTTCTTAACGATTTTAATCAACATCACTCACTTCGATTTGTTCGGTGAGACAAGACACTATTTTCCTCCTCTAAGTAGCGCCATTTATTAAAATGCTATTAAATGCTAATAAAGTAGATTGTCACTGATTATACACATCGTTATCACATGGATGACCTTCACAAAGTTTGACGTCAATACGATACTGCTTGTGCGGATATTGCGTGATAAATTATCTTACACCGCAGAGAGATTTTCATAAAACAGTTTGTTAATTTAATGCGTAATGGAATGCAAGGGGAAAATCTATCGATTCGAAGCGTGACGTTTTCGCTTTTCGTGGGTGTCAGACATCAACGTAAATTTTCATGACCGTTCGTAACGACGGCCACCCACGTAATTTCAACGTCACGAATGCTACGTCATTTCTTGGACTTCAAGAAATATCTTGTTTGCTCTTCTCGCGTAACATTTCTCGTCGCAAGAGTCAGTCATCAGTTAGTTAATTTGGTGACGGATGTAATACTAAGTCAGTTCATTGTTGAAACAGGATGTATCAATGTGCCGCTTAGGAATTTAATATCAAAGATAAGCGACAATATATTGAGCTATCATAAACTCGGTTGGCATCGGTTTCACATACCGTCTATCGCGACGTAATACATCTCGTGGGAATTTAAACATCTACGCGTATGCAACTTTGATAAGCATCCGTGAAAACATATAAATAGACGAAGTTCAAGTTGTAACAAATTGAAGATGAATCATTGAAAATATTTTTTTCTGAAATTTTTCATCATACTTCTGTTTTTTTTTTTTTTATAGAAATGACGAACAACAAATCAAAGTTTCTGTATGTATTATGTCTCGCTAGATAATTAACAACAAATCAAAGTTTCTGTATGTATTATGTCTCGCTAGGTAATTGTAAACAAAAAATCTGAAAATATTTGATTTACTCACCTTATTCCTCGAGGAACTCTGATCAGGAAAATCTGATCTGCAACAAAAGAAAATAAAAATTAACATCTTCGCAAAATTTTACAAGGCTTTTTGTAATTGTATGTGCAACATTTTCAATACTTGATACATCTATTCATTATTAAGCTTCTACGAATTTCATAAAATTTTGATGTCTAGGGAAGATGAACGCATAAAAAGACAATATACAAAGTTCGAGATATTTTAAAGCTTTATGCAACGGTTATGTTACGCGCCAAGCAGGATATTCTCTCTTGGAATATCCCCCGTATATTTATCCTGCGGTCAACTTCGTTAGTCCGTAAGTCAGATTTACCGCTGCTGTAATAGTTGCTTGGCGGAAGAAAAAAAGCAGTCATCCTTCAAGTATGCGGGTATTGTTTCTTAATAACATGCTTTGAATCATGCTCGCTTGGTAGACGAGTCTTCGAGATACATCGCATTCGATTGTTGTGCCGCGCAATGTATTTACATTTATTGATGTCGTAGCAAAGGTCAGCTTGCGCTTTTGTGCAGTTTCATGTCACGTTTCGAAAAGAGGGAACACATGTATGTACATCTATTATTTGTGTACATAAACTGAGTATTAACTTAACATAATTTTTATTTGCTACATATTTAAATTTATTATATCTAAATATAAATATTAAAAAACTAAGCTGCACACATATCGCATTTTTATATATTAAAAAAAAATTAATTTTTAAAGTAAATTTATTTGTATTAATTAATATTATATATTAAATATTATAACGCAATATAAAGAATAAGTAATGCAGAAGTAAAAAATGTCTAACGAATAAGAACTTGTCGATAATATTATCTTGTTTTTATTTGCAGGGGGAAGATACTGAACACATGGCGTTTTGTCACGTTAATTTTCTCACGCGAATCAAGCCAGGTGGGGCGATATCGACATTGCAATGGACTTTATCAGCTTCGTAGATGGATAGCACCTGTTACAGTGACTTCTTCGTAATCATCGCAGGTTTCTGCAGAGGAGATGCCAGTTGTGCTCGCCAGTGCAAGCAGCAGGCGTAAGTTGTGTATCATTTGTACTTTCCTGACAGCGCATACTAGGAACCGAGCTTCTTCTCGGATCATCTGACTTCACATTTTAACTTACAGTGTGTCTTAAATATTTTAATAAATTAATGCTCATCTCCTTTGCAATAAAATACGAAAGAGTTCAATATAATAATGTACGATGAGCACATATTCGTCGATAGAATCACAAATCAGATTTGTTTTTATATACATATTTTAGAGAGTAAAAGAATTTAGAAAGCATGCACAGAACACCCTATGTAGGCACAAGTTGCGGTCACACGATGGCACGTGGTCGGAGCAGCCGG